GGCAAGGCTGGGTGCCTCGCCTACTCCACTGCGGCCTTGACACTCAAAGCATCGAAAGGATTGGAGTTAGTGAGAGATGCAGCACGTAGACGTAGACTACTTCCGTTCTAGGACAAGCTTCCTGAGCTGAGGTTTACATCATGCAACCTAGGTCTCTTAGGTGCATCCTCTCGAAATGGGATTGCCATCGACGGCTGCTGCTTGCATTCTGTACCCAAGGGGGCAGTTTGGTACAAGTAGCGATCACAGGTCTGGGTCCCCGACACGTTCAGCAAGAAGCTGCTTCAATCGTTCAATCTCCTCTTTCAGGCCCTGGCAGACACGGGCTGTCCTCATTCGAGGAACCGAAAGCATGAGGCCATTGCCTCCATCTTGGCAAGCTCTCGTTCTGCCGAGGCCAGTTTCATGCGAAGGAGCTCCTCATAAACGTGAGCTTGAACAAGAAAAAATGTTTGTTGCTGGCCATCGAAAACAAGCTCTCCAGTTCTGCTTGTAGTCTCTTGATGGCATCATGGTCCTCGGCAAGACAGCTCGCCGGTGATAAAGCTGATAGCATGTCGTGGAGTGTAGTACAGTAAGGTATGGGCGACGACCTCTCGGACTTTCTCTCCTGGCCCATGAGACTGGGAGAAAGGGTCATGGCGTGGGTTTTCAGACGTACAGGCTGCATGTCTGTGATGGGGGCTCCTTCCTCTTTTTTTGGCTTTCTTTTGACCTTGGGTGGTGAAATTCGTCGCTCTGTTTGCTTCGTGTACCCGAGCTTGAAATATCTGCAAGCCTGCAGCGAAAGCTGAGGGTACAGCAGGTTTGGTGCTAACCTGTTCAACCTGAAATCACTGCACAGTCGCCCCGCTGACTCTGTGACAACGATTGAATGGGAATTCACCAACTAGTATCGGCTAATATCGGTGCCACCTCTTCTTCGCTGCTGCTGCTCTCTGCTTGAGCTGCAGGGCCTCGTGTTGAATCACAGTGCAATCGTGCAATGGGGGACACGGTCAAGCTACCCCTGGGACAATGCGTCCCTTGCCTTTCTTCTTTGGTGCCTTAGGCTTCGGTCCTGCACGACTGCCGAGCCGTCAGCACATTATTTAAACGCAATGATCACGTGCATTGCTCGTCATCACGCGTTCATGTCTGGTTCCACTGTCAGCGAGACAGAGGCAATTATGTCAAACGATGTCAAACGCCTGAGTCAACTTGTGGCACAGGCTGCGCACGCGGCTCACCTGACCACGTAAACTCGGAAGATATACGTCAGGTTTGCGGAGGCATTGCCAGAAAAACACGAGTCACAGACTTCGACCGAATTTAGGAATCTAGTAAAATCAGATGCTGATGCGTTTTCGATGGTTCCGCGTGCCTGGCTGGACAACCTCTGGCCCCTTCTGTGGAAAAGGTGCCCAGGGATCGGTCTGGCACCTGCGCTACCAGTTGCAGCACCTGTCGCAGCCAGACCCAAGAGTAAGCCCAGATGCTCTTTGGAAGCCGGCAGCTGTCGCTTGCGAACAGGGCTGGTGACCTCAGTCTCAGAGAGTCGCATTCACTAAGCGCCGAAACCGTTGCGCAAGGGTTCGAACCGGCGCTCCTGCAGCCCGCAAAGCTTCCTGTGCCTTCTCGAGGGTGCGTCCGGACGCGAACAAGGCGACTGACTTAGCTCAGCAACAGTCTGCCTTTCTGAGCTCCTCCTCGAGATCTCTGATGGTGCGGCTCTGTGTGCCATTCTGACAGTGGCCAAGCTGCGAACATGCGCCTGGCTTCTGATGCAAGAGATCAAAACGCTTCACCTACCTCCTTCTCCAGCTCCGCGATTCGTCTTCGCAAGGACTGGCAAGCATGTTAAATTGGCTCGGATCCGCGCCCAAATGCAAGCGCAAAGCAGGATGCCTCGATGAGTTCTGTCTGGTCCACGATCTCCGTCATCGGCACCGGCGGAAGAATCCTGTGTTGGAGCTTTGTTGCTTCTGGGAAGACAGCTGCATCGTTGCAAAATGTTGCGAAAAGCCACGCAACATCGAAAGAATCCGTAAGACTCCAGCCCACCCTCGCCCTTTTCCGGCTTGGTCAAATACCGCACATCCAATTGGAGCTGCTCCTGCCCGGCCCGGACACGCGGAATAGGAATAGCCGGAAACACATTATGCCACATGCTGTGTGGGTGAGACGCCTTCAGTGACCGAAGGAAGACGGCTGGCATGTGCATAGAAGCTGCGTCCAGCCTAGGTGCATAACATGTAGCGACATTTCAACTTTGCCGAGCACGCTGTGACGCTGTTGCGGATGACAACGCCCTCCGAGAGCTGCGCAGTTTCGTCAATGCCCTTCTGAGATGCTCAATCCTCAGGTGTTGTACGGCAAGGCTACGCTGGCCGCAGCAAGGGTCGGTGTTCAGACGGTTCGACAAGTCGCAAATGACAAGACGGAGTGAGATCAAGCCGCCCGTGCTCTGAGCCTTTCGCTCTTTGAAGAACTTGCTCGACTCCTCTGCATGCTTGGCCTCAAGCTCCTCCTGGCGTCGGGCCGCGCTTCTAAGATTTTCTACTAACGAGATGACCGCAACTAGCAAGTCGATGTGGCTGCAAGCGACAAGGAGCTGCTGTTCGTCTCAGCTCCCTGGGGAGCTGGCAACTTTGCGGCACTTGGGGCTCTGCGGCTCTTCCAAGGAATCCTTTGAGACACAGCAACTGCTGTCTTCAAGTCTCACAGCTTGGCGAAAACGGTGAGGCTTCTGTTCGTTTTGGGTTTTGGGAAGTGGGCTTTCGCTCTCGGATACAGACCAGAGGAGGTTCGTATGCTCCGAAAAGGGTGAATTGTGCATTGCGGCAAAGACCACAGCGGTACCACATCTCTACGACCCTCAGCCTCAGGAGACCCAACACGGCACACGGCCAACACCGAAGCCGACGAATTTAACCAGCTCGTCGACCAATGAGCCATGAAGCCCTCATGCCTCGCACTGTTACACCAGGTTACACCCTCATGTCTGGGATGTTTCGGAATCTGGACATGTCTGTCAGCTTGGTGCCACACGCCCTCTGCCTCCAGCTGTGCTTCGAGCTTCCGGTTACGAAGCGCCGCACGGCGCTCTGTGAGCGGGCTGTCCGGTCGCACTGGCAACAAGAGCAAGATTGAAAAAGCATCCGAGCTGGTCTCGACGAGAGCACTTGACAGCTGCACAATGCTTGGCCGCGCCTCCATCTGGCGCTACACTTCGAAGCACATCTCCTTCTGATCATGCGGACTACGACGATGGTTCGAGCCCTTGTGTGACTCGGGATGCGGCGCAACGGACTAGCTCCACCAGACGGTGGGGCTTTGGGCAAGGGCGGAAAGGACCTGCGCATGCAGGGTGCTGCATCAAGTCCAGAGCCTACTTCTTAGCTCGAAGGCGGAAACTAGGCACCGGACGGCTGCGGCGAATACGGTCTGGAACCTGACACTTGCACGGCTCGGGTGAACTTCTGCCACGACGGAGAGTCCAGAACAGCTATAGTCTTACTGTCTCTTGCCGAGTGCCAAGCGGGAAATGGTGCCTCTGGAAAACGGCGAGGCCTAATCAGTCAAGAAGATGTACCATGACACCGGCTGCTGAGAGGAAACTGCACGTGCTTGAAATTAGCTTGGGTAGCTGGGAGCCTGACCGCGAGGCCACGCAATGTACACGAGGCGCCAGCTACTACAGGTCAACCCCGGCTGAGCCCTGCGGTACGTGCAAAAGGACTCCTTAAAGGCTGGCATGGCATAAGTGTCCTCTCAAACCATCTCAAGTGTAAGGGACATGCATGCGGGCTCAGGCCAGAGCGAGGCTCCGGATTTTCTCCCAGAAGTGGCTGTGCTGCTGGCGGTTGCTGTTGCACTCCCCATACAACATTTGAGCCCCCAGGCGCTTGTGAGCGACCTTCTCGGTGCAGCACGAAGTTCCGTGCATCTGCTCGGGCAGCTTAGGCTTAGACCCTCATAACATGCAATTTTCCGATGACGTGCATAAGTATTACAGAACAAAGTACCAAAAAATCATGTGGCCTCAAGCCCCCACAGATGCAAGGGCGGCTGCAACACAGGAAAAGTATTGAAGTCGGCACTTCACGGCTATGAACAACCACAGCTTTAAGTTAATGAGGATAGTTCTGGCACACAAGTCAGTTTGAAACCCCGAGACACCATCTGTTCCACACGGGTCAAGCGGCACACAGCCGAAAACTGTCTCTTTGTGCACTGCTGCGAAAAACTCAGACCACACTGCTTATGCAGCCGAAGTCACACATCGAGTGGCATTGCTGACCAACCTTAGTAAGACGATAAAGGAAGACTAAGCTGATATTGTATCTGTACTGTGCTGCAGCACGTAGTTTCGCGGAATTGAAGTAGGTGTACGGCATGGCGTGGACTGGCTACCTTCGTCTCGGCACACCTGCTTAAAAAACATGGAGCAACAATGGGGCTGCAGGGAAGACATTCCACCGCGCAGCAAGCTAGCGCTCTCCTGCTGCTTCTGCGGAGATGTCCCGGAATCCTGTTGACATTGATAGTATTGCACCCTGTGGAAAACTTCCCAACACACCTCGGAAATGCGCCTGCGTGTCGGCATCGTTCCGCAGCTGCTCCTCTGCTGCATGGCAAGCAGCCAGCAGCTCACCTTTGCTCTTCCATAAATGCATGGCGCTACAGGCACAACGCCGAAAGATCTCGCACAAGTGGCAGGGTGCCAAGAGAAACAAGCTTTTCCTCCTTCTGGGCATCGGGTCCTTCTGCCACATCACCGATCTCTTCACGGTCTTCACGAAGGTATCGGGAAGTCAACTTGAGCATGTTCGTGAGGAACGTGGGAGCAGCATCCAATCGAGTCGTGCCTTTGGCAGCTTTCGACATCCATGCGCACTTCCACTGGTTCAAGTCATCATGTCGGAGAGAACCTGTGCGTGGTTCGATGTTGTTGCCGCATCACCGTATGAGAACTTATTCCTGGAAGTAGAGGAAGAGCCTTCGTGTCCGATCCAGCATCACGTTTTCCCACACACAGGGTTCCAAAGACCCGCACCCTTTAGCTTTTTTTGCTTGGCTTCCTTCCCAATAACCCATGTGGCATGATAGGACACCATGTGATACGGTTCCTGCAACCCAAGTCTGGGATCGACGGCTCCATCGATGTACTCCCACGGGTTCATGTCACAGTAATCAAAGACCTTCTCCGCTTCGATGCCGCTGCACTGGCTGCTGTCGCAATGGTGGAAACACGCGAAAAACCCCTTGTCTTTCGGCTTCCGCTTCCGCTCCACCACAAGTGCATCCCAGAAATTCTCTTGGTCATCCAGGCCGGGCCTATTGTCGCACCAATGAATGCTGACGTTGAACATGTGCTGCATGATTCGTGGCTTCCTCCCGCCTGACACATAGTAGAAACCCGTATTGCCCTTGATTGGCTCTTGATGGTACTCATCTTTCTTGACTCCTGGTGGCTTGACTTTGCGTCCGTAGATCATGTCGTACTTCCCCGAGCGCATCATGCTTCCAAGCGAGAGTGACGGCAAGAAGGGGTCGCTCTTGAACACACTGTCGCTGTCTGAGAACACCACATCCAATTGCGCCTCCACTAGCACATACAACATTGACCGCAGCTTGTTGCATCNNCAATCTTAAAACCAGGACTTCCAAAGGGTTCGTAGGACCCGTGGCGCTCGCCAACAGTTGGAAAGCTGCGTTCTGGGCCAAGCTCTTGATAGATTTTGTCGTCTAGTGCCACGACAAGCCAATCCAAACCGAACTTTCTTGCATAGCACTCCCAGTTTTGCAACATGTCCAGGTAGCCGTAGTTCGCAGCTGTCAGAAGCAGCGCATTACTCAATTCAGGTGCGCGGGTCTTGTCTAGATACAGCCCAGCATGTTTTCGAAGAAGCTGTGGAAGCTGTCCACTCTCTGCAACCGCGGTCTCGCTTTGCACAG